GTATCCCGGGGCTTGGAAGAGCGCTGGGCGCCTGGGAAGCTCTCAGTCGTTATTTGGAAGGGAAAGACCAGAAGTGGTGCAGTCTGGCTTTGAATCCTGACCGTGACTCCTCACTCCGTGTCCCAAACCATCCCCACGCTGCTCCCGTTCCGTAAGTTATTAACTTTACCTTGCACATACGGGGGTCTTCAAAGGTTCATAGGAAATGTGTGTTATGAACAAGCCATGTCTGGGTGTTCAAGCACCCAGCAGCGCCCTCTTCCCTACTCTACTGGGACGGACGCCTCCGTACCCTGGCCTCCATCCACCTGCGCCCAGTACTGCCAGGGCCCCAGCCGGTGCCTCTGCAGCACAGGGTGCGGCCTGCAGAGGCTGCGGGCCTCCGTGGCCACTAGATGGGGCTGTTGGGAAGGGAAAAATTCCCCATGAGCTTCTGAAGGAGGAGGGGTTGCTGTTTTCATTTTGTTTTTAAGATTGATTTATTTATTTGAAAGAGAGAGAGAGCGCGGGAGCGCGTTTCCATCCACTGGTTCACTCCCCAAATGGCTGCAATAGTGGGAGCTGGACAGATCCAAGCCAGGAGCCAGGAGCTTCACCCAGGTCTCCCATGTGGGTGCCAGGGGCCCAAGCACCTGATCCATCCTCTGCTGATTTTCCAACCCGTTAGCAGGGAACTGAAATGGAAGTGGAGCAGCCGGGACTCCAACTGGCGCCCAAGTGGGATTATGGCTTTGCAGGTGGTGGCTTTGCCTGCTACGCCACTGCACCGGCCCCTACAGCTTGGTTCTACGACTGGCTGGGGAGTGGAGGCGAAGAGGGAGCTTCCAGGCACCTTCAGGTGTGAATTCGGTGTCTGTGGGAGTGGAGGAAGAGCAGGATGGGATGAGTGCAGACCTGCTGCCCATGGGCCCTGGTGTCCTGAAGATAATGATGGCCACAGGCCTATCCCTCGGGGTCCCACCTCTCTGGGTCGGTTCCTGCCAGCTCATGCGTATACAGGGCTAGCCTAGGCACGTGCCTGTTGGCCTAGTGACGCTTACCCAATGTGCGCGCACACAGATACACGCTGCAGAGGGGCAGGCAGTGGGTACGAAGCACTGCTGGTTGGTAGCTGCTTGCACCCTGAGAACCAGGTTTGCTCGCTCTCTCTGCACTCACAGCATCACACATCTTTTCTTACGCATGCAGGTACTCAGTTAGGGAGGCCAACCGTCCTCCAGGACTCAGGGGTTCCCAGAATGCTGGACTTCCAGTGCGAACACTGGGACAGCCCCAGGCAAATCAATCAAAGAGGTCTTCCGGGTGACCGCAGGGGCCGGGACCCTGCTTTGTCCATGCCTCATGGGCCAAGCCGGCTGGCCATCTGTGAGGATATCTCAGACCCCTGTGAGGTCAGGCAAAGAGCACCGCAAGGCCAAGGTGCTGTCGTCTGGGCTCTCGTGTGGGCAGGAGACACATGTCATTCACGCGCAGGCAGCTGAGAGGGCTCCAGGCTCCCCAGGCCTGGGCAGGTGCGTGGAATCTACACTCCCTTCAACTCCTGTTGGTTTGCGCTTTTCCCTCTTGGTGTGTGGAGCCGTGTGGTCAGCTGTTGAGCCAGTGGTCAACTAGAGCCCCAACATCCGGGACTCTCCTTGGTGTCCCCACCTCCTTCTGAAAGGCTTCAGCTCAGATGCAAAGACCTGCGGGAGTTTGGCTGCCATGGGGCTGCTCCTGGCTGTCCCAGGTCCTCGGGTCCTGTGTCTGTAGGGCTGGTCTGTGTTGCTGGGGTTCAGGCCCCAGCAGCAGTGGCCCGGGAAGGGGCTAGCTGAGCGCCCTGTGAGTGCAAGGTGGTGTGGCGTTCCCCACCACAGGGCTGGATGGAGGTCTGCTGCCTGCTCGGTGCCTGTTCCCCTATCTGCCATCAGCGGGCTGTCCCCTCCCCGTCCGCGGAGGCTCCTGTGAACAGCAGGAGCTCTCCTGACCAGGCTGGGCTCTCCGCGTCCTGCCCAGGTGGGTGTCTCATCTTGGATGGGGCTGTGCTCTCCTCTAGTGCCAGAGGACAGAGGTAGCTCTGAGTCTCGAGCGGAGCTGGTGAGTGTGAGCCCCCCGCAGGCTAACCAGGGCTTCACCACGGTCAGGCCTTTCTGGAGTCTCTCTGTAGGCTGGGTCTGGGGGTCTTCTTGTGTCTTGTGAACAGTGGAGCCTGAAGGAGCAGCTGGCTTGTTCCTAGGTGGAAAAATGGGTGAGAAAACCCATGTAACAGCCAGGGGGCCGGACAGCTGTGATCTAGGCATCTGGAGATGTCCGGAAGGCTTTCCGACAGGAGCTTCTGGGGTGTGTGACCTGCAGGAAAGACAGCTCCTAGCTCTGCAGGGACACGGACCGCCTGCTCCGCCACTGTCTCTCCAGCAGCTGGCACGTGCAGGCGATCAGGGAGCGCTTGTTAGGTAGTGACTGAATGCCTTGAGAAGCTGACGTCGGTAACCTTTTCTGTGTGCCACACACATTTTTGTGATGCAAGTGAAAGTCCCATGCTAGAGTCAGAAAAACTTGGCTTAGAATCCTGCCCTCAGGCTGGGCACTGTGGCACAGTGTAGTCTGCCTGCGACACTGGCATCCCATATGGGCACCTGTTCATGTCCCAGCTGCCCCACTTCTGATCCAGCTCCCTGCTAATGGCCTGGGAAAAGTAGCGGAAGACAGCCCAAGTGCTTGGGCACCTGCCACCCATGTGGGAGACCTGGATGAAGCTCCTGGTTTTGACTTTGGCCTGGCCCAGGGTTGTTGTGGCCATGTGGGGAGTGAACCAGAGCATGAGAGCATGGAAGATCTCTCTGTCTGTCTGTCTGTCTCTCTCTCTTTCTCTCTGTCTCTCTCTGTGTGTCTCCCTCTCCCTTTTAACTCTGCCTGTCAAATAAATAAATAAATACATCTTTTCTTTTTTTAAAAAAAGAATACTGTCTTTATCACTTACTGGCTTTATGAAGCCATAAAGTTTTTTTTAAGAAAAAGGATTTATATATTGATTTTAAAAATTTGTTTGAGGCTGGCACCGCGGCTCAATAGGCTAATCTTCCACCTGTGGTGCCGGCACACCGGGTTCTAGTCCCGGTCGGGGCGCCGGATTCTGTCCTGGTTGCTCCTCTTCCAGTCCAGCTCTCTGCTGTGGCCCGGGAGTGCAGTGGAGGATGGCCCAAGTGCTTGGGCCCTACACCCACATGAGAGACCAGGAGAAGCACCTGGCTCCTGCCTTCGGATCAGCGCGGTGCGCCGGCTGCAGCGTGCTGGCCGCAGCAGCCATTGGAGGGTGAACCAACGATAAAGGAAGACCTTTCTCTCTGTCTCTCTCTCTCACTGTCCACTCTGCCTGTCAAATAAAAATAAAAATAAAAATTTGTTTGAAAAGTAGGGGTGGGGAGGGAGGGAGGGAGGGAGAGAGAGACAGAGAGATATTCCATCTGCTGGGTCACTCACCAGATGGCTGCAATAGCCAGTCCTGGACAGGCTGAAGCCAGGAGCTGGGAACTCTGTCCAGATCTCCCATGTGGGTGGCGAGCTGGATCCAAAGCAGAGCAGCCAGGATTCAAATCACCACTTGGCTATGGGAGGCTGACATTATAACCTGCTGTGCCACAATGTTGGCCCCCAGACATGTTCCTTAATGAAGGGACAGTGTATGAAGCCCTGAGGCTGCTGTCAGGATTCCTGAGAGAATGTGTGAAGAGCTCAAAGCCTGGCCTTTGCACCTGCAGTCTCAAGGTCCATTTTATTTTATTTTATTAAGTATTTGAGAGGCAGAGTTACAGGCAGAGAAGGAAAGACAGACAGAGAAGTCTTCCATCCGCTAGTTTGCTTCCCAAATGGCCACAATGGTGGGAGCTGAGCTGATCTGAAGCGAGGAGCCAGGAGCTTCTTCCAGGTCTCCCATGTGGGTGCAGGGGCCCAAGGACTTGGGCCATCTTCTACTGATTTCCCAGGCCATAGTAGAGAGCTGAATCGGAAGAGAAGCAGCCAGGACTTGAACTGGTGGCCATTGGGATGCAGGTGCCACAGGTGGAGGCTTTACCGACTACGTCACAGGTGCCGGCCCCTATGGCTCTATCTGGACATCTTCCCCCAGGGCATCTCCCAATTCTCTCTCATCCTAGAAAATCTCTAAAGTTGAGAGACCGGGGGGAATCCCAGCCCTGGAAGGCCCTTGGTTCAGCCAAATAGCTGAGACACGGGCCCCATGCAGCCGTCAGGCTGAGGCTGCGCTGTTCCTCCCTTTCCCACTTGCACTGAGTAGAGAGGGGACTAGGAACAGCTAGGAGCCCTTCTGTCCTTTGGGAGGCCAACCCTCGGCTTAGCTCCTTTGGGCCCAGGCAGCCTATAGCTGCCACTGTGGAAGCACCTGCGGTTCTTCTGTGTCAGCCCCGTGTCTCCTCAGTCCCTTGCCCCTGAGCCCAGGCTCCACAGCCCATGTGTCCTCTCCAGGAGCTGGGCCACAGGGCGCAGGGAGTTTTCTTGGGCCGCCAAGCTTTCCTGAAACCTGACCAGGTGTCAAGGCAGAGAATTTTGGCCCTGGAGTGCATGATCATCTCAGAGACACACTGAGCCCTTCCCTCGGACATGGATGCTCTGTTTGGGGGTGTCATAACTCACTTGGGACCCACCTTCCACTCAGTTCCCTTCCTCCCCATTTCAGACCTGTGTCTCTGAAAAGCGAGGGTCAGAGAGGAAGGATGTTGTCATGGAAAGAACCCTGGACCTGGAGTTTGAGTGTGAGCCGCTCCTTGGTGGACTCTCTCAGGAGTAAGGTCTGTGCACAGGTGAGCCTGTGGCAGGTTGTAGGGGTGGTGGTGGTGGTCCCAGTGACCCGAAGGAGACCACTTCCAGCATTGCTGTTCTGTGCACCTGTGAGGTCTTTGTAAATTCATACTCCAGGTCCTCCCCCACCCCCGCGCCCAAAAGGAGCAGGTGATTATCATTGGGGTGGCAAGTGGCTGGGTGACAGAAAGAGCATGCGCCAAGTCAGGTGTCGTCCCGAGGAGCAGCTTTATTATATATTTTACCTTCACCAGGGAGAAGAAGGCAAGGAAGCTGGAGAGCACACCAGCTTGCATCCCAGACACAAACCACAAATCTACAGAGTGTACATGGTGAAAATTAAGGGCCCAGAGCAGACCAGCTGTGAAACAGAGATTGACAAGGACCCAAAGGTCCCCTCTTGTCTTTCTGTATTGGCTGTTTGGATGAAATAATTCACATACTTTTTTTTAAAAATACAACTAACTTTCCAATGTACAACCATTTTCTGTTCTTTTTAGGATACAGAGACAAAATGACCCAATTTTTAATGTTTGCATCAACCTCTACTTCTCAGCACCAGCGGTGGTGGTGACTTGTGCAAAGTTCATTAGAATTCAGTTCGATTTGAGTCTCAGATGAGAGCTTGACCCTCTAAAGGTAAATGAAGGCATCATTGGCTGGTACACATGTGGGGCTGGATGAATTTTTGCCCCCAAGAAGCTGTGCTAGGCGTCTGTGGTCTCTCCTAGGGAGATCATCCCTACATCTGAGACGGTCCACTGGCTGCTTGTTCACAGGAGCTGATGCAACACGGAGGGGACTGTCCTCAGAGACACAGACCAAGTCCTGGGATGCTGAGAACACCGCGGGGCAAGGAGGAACACTGCACACAGAGGCACCCTCAGGGGAAGGCACCGGAACAGGGGCTGGGGCTGCATTTCATCTGCTGGCCATCTTCTGGGCCCCAGGCTGGGGGTCACACGGCGGCTACTTCCCCTTTCCAGAGGGCTGGCACGTCTCCTGTACTTTCTGGGGGAACACCTCCACGCATTTGGTCTGGGCCAGCTCCTGGCAGGCCTCCACACTCTGAGATGGACACTGGTCTTGGCAGGGGTCTTGGCTTTGCTGTGGGCACTTTTCCTGGTTTGACTGCTGGCTCTGAGGAGGACACACCTCCTGGGCTTGCGGCAGGCACTTCTCTGAGCAGGGGTCCTGGCACTGGGGGAGACACACCTCCTTGGCCTGAGCCTGGCTCTGCTCTTGGCTCTTTTGAAGACACGGAGGGGGCGCACATGGCTGCTTGCACTGCTGGTCACTGAAGGACATCTTGGAATGATTTGTAGAACCTGAAACAGACACGAAATTGGAAAGGATCTGTAATCAAAGCACAGGACTGGCACCTAAAGGATGGTGTGGAGGGTCCTGGGGAGGGTTCTTAACCCTAAGAACTTATTTGTCTGCTGCTTTTTGTCCCTTTCTCTTTCCTCTCCAAGGCTTAGCTCCCTCTGACACCCATCTCTGAGGTGGGAGTATTCTCATGGCCTTGTCTGCACAGCCCCAAATGTCTTCTAGTTCACTGATTTGGAAAATCAGGTGCAGGAGGCTAAACGGCATATACAGGATGATCTGATAGGCTCAAGAAATGGCAAACTGTGTTTAAAAGAGGAGTAGAAAATTTGTCTTGGGAGAGGAGCAGAGCAGCAGCCTTCCAAAGCCTGAGCAACAGGGAGAGAGGACAGGGAAGTCCCCACTTACCTGGTCTCAGCAGGACCCAGCGAAGCGTGAGGACTGTGGAGCCCAGCAAGGTGGGAACTTTTATACAGTGCCCGGTCCAGCCTCCTGCAAGACTGACCAACCACGTGGTCCTAATTGTGGAGTCACCATAACGAGCTACCTCTGAAGTCCCCAATGGTTTGAGTCACTGCTTGGGATGCCTGTTAAACCGTCTGCGTTTTGGCCTCTGGGTCCGCACCAGACCTCAACAGGGAGGGGCTGCTTTCAGATCTCTTTCATCAGCGGCGCTAGGAAGAGAATATTCACAAAATGTTATCGCAGTCTGCTTTCTTGTCTGCCCACACCGGCTCAGGATGTGGTGAGAGATAACATCCCCCTTGCTCATCTTGTCTTCAGCAAAAGGAAGACCTTGGGCGGAAGACCTGGGGTCTGTCTTGGTCAGGGCTCCTGTGGCCGTTTCAGGCTCCTCCACTGGGTGCCTCTTGGTTGAGCTTAGAAAGTCATGCTTCCAGATTCATGGGCAAGGACCTCTCTTGTGGTCTCCAGTTGACGAAGGACCTATATAGTTTTTTGGAGGGAGTGATTTTTTTTTTCCTGCAGGGAGATCTTGAGAAATATTGGAGCCATTTATTGCTCCTGAGTTTTGAAGAAGGGTGAAGGGAAGACATGGGCGGGAGCAAAGTAGGCAGTGCCTTCTTCTCAATCTGGATTTACGACGCTCTTTTCAAAGTGGCGTTGCTCACAGAGTGTTCACGGGAACCAAGAGAACAGGCTGGGGCAAGTCAGCCTGGATTCTGGCCTCCTGGGAACTTTTTCTTAGAATGCATGTCAATAAAAGTCAGGGGAGGAAGGAAAAGTTCCTAAGCAAACAGTTCCTGTTCCTCTGGGGTTTAGTTTGGGCTGTCGCTCTGCTCTGTGTGCTCTCCTTTTCTGTGCCTGTTGAAATCCTAAGCACTCTTTGAAGCCCTGCGCACGTCTTCCACCTGCCAAGAGCCTTTTCTTATTACTCTAAACCTGCAGTGAGTTCACCTCCTTGCCAACTCTGAGAGCATCTATTGTTTGTGCTATTTACGTGACACTTATTATTGCTACTTGGAATTCCCGTTATTTGTGCGTAAGATTTTATTGTTCTCCTGGGTTGTAAGTTCTTGGGGGGAACTCAGTGTGATGCGTAGACAGTATACTGTACACAGGCCGGGATGTCTGGCTCGGTCCCTAGCAGAGTACATAATCCTGGGTAAGTCCCTGACCCTCTCTGGCCTCAGTTTCATTTTCTTTAAAATAGGAAAGCTAAACCTTCCAAGGGGTCTGTTGCAGCGGTGACATTCTGTGATACTACACACATGCTTGTGAATGATTATCCCAGCTATCCACGTGACTTTTTAGGCGTGTGGATGCATGTGTGTCTGGGTGTCTCCTGCTGACGAGGTTACACTATCCCTGCAGAAAGACTCGGAGTTCTGCCCTGTCCAGGTGGCTGTGGCACCGCTGGGTGACTGCATGACCTCAGGTGACCCGTCTTTTCTGAGGAGTGCAGGGAGAGTGTCTGGGGTCTGAGCCCTCAAAAATCAACCTTAGCATGGCACAGTCCCTGGTGCCACAGCTTGGACAGCTTTGGGGAGACTGTCCCACCCCACATCTCAAGATAAGGTGACTAAGTAGTTTCTCTGACCAGTCCCAGCCCTCCAGCAAAGTTGGAACTGATCTGATTTGATGTGAACTGATATGTAAGATTTTGGACTTCTGGAGCTGTCATTACTGGCAGCCAGGGTGTAATTAGACAGGGTCAGCAGAAGAGACACATGGATGTGCAGGGTATTGTGTTTTCCATTCCCATCTAATAACTATCTCCTTTGTTCATGGAAAGTCCCCAGACCCCTCTGATTCACTGGCAACACATTAGAGGGCAGTGGCTCTGATAAAGCTGAATGGGACAGAGTGCGGCTCATCCCACTTCCTGGGGAGCAGGCGCCTCTGCAGCACTCCCTGAGCTTGTGAATACCTAGGGGAGGGGCCATCGTCCTTCTCCCCTCCCTCGGGCCTGTGTCACCTCCTGGGGTCTGAGTCAGGGGTGTGGGAGGTGTGGCCTTAGGGCCAGAAGGGACACGAGAGTCCGCCTGCCTCTGCCTTCTCATTTGAGCCCCAGCACGTGCTTCAAGCAGGAGGTGCAGAACTATTGACTACATTTTTTTAAATGAGGAAACTGAGGCACAAAATCATCAAGGGCCTTGTTCAAGGTCTCATGGTGGGTCCATGTCTGGTCTGGGCAATGGTACATGTGACAAAGGCTCAGGAGACCCCTGCACTGGAGTTCTTTATAAACTTCAAGAAGATCACAGAGACACAGAGCAGCTTTTTTAAGTTTTGGAGTCTTAGGACTCCAGATATGCTGTCTGTCTGCGGGGAGTTCAGGTTAAAGGCCACTAAACACAGCCAGTGGGGGAAAATGACGTTCTCAAGTTGTTTAGGTTCACTTTCGGTTTTCAAGCTTTTCCTGTTTTAGTCTGGTCATGGTACATTTTGGATGAGATCAGGGTTAGAAATCAGCCAGCTCGCTGTGACTTTGGTTAAGCACTTCCCTCTCTGGGCCGAGATCCTGAGAGCGCATAAAGTGCCACAGTCAGCTCCGATACCCTGATAAGTGGTGATGCAAAAGTCTCCTGGCTCTCACTGTGGGTCCAACTTGGGAATGGCGGGGAGGGAGAGGAGGGGAGGGCCCCCGGCCCCAGTTGCCATTAAAGGTGTTTGCCATCCTTTCCTTTACCTCCGTTTCTGCTCCACATCCAGAGTTCCAGACAGCACATGGCAAGAAGCCCTTTGCTGCAATCAGGTGATGGGTTATGGCGCCGGGGGTCCACCAGGGTACTTGAGTATTATTGGTTTCTTGGCTTCCTAAATTCTGGGGCCCTGACCAGGGGTTTTACCTTAATTATCTGACATTATCACCATCTCTCATCCCTTAGTGAGACTTAAGCATTTTATTTTATTGGATTTATTTGAGCGAGGGAAAGAGGCAGAGGGTAAATGAGAGTGAGAGCAAGTGAGAGAGAGAGAGGTTGGCCGGCGCCATGGCTCAATAGGCTAATCCTCCACCTGCGACATTGGCACCCCGGGTTCTAGTCCCATTTCGGGCGCCGGATTCTGTCCCGGTTGCTCCTCTTCCAGTCCAGCTCTCTGCTGCGGCCCAGGAGTGCAGTGGAGGATGGCCCAAGTGCTTGGGCCCTGCACCCCATGGGAGACCAGGAGAAGCACCTGGCTCCTGTCTTAGGATCAGCGCGGTGCTCTGGCCACGGCGGCCATTGGAGGGTGAACCAATGGCAAAGGAAGACCTTTCTCTCTGTCTCTCACTGTCCACTCTGCCTGTCAAAAAAATTAAAAAAAATAAAAGAGAGCGAGAGAGAGAGAGAGAGAGGGAGAGATAGAGAGGGCATGCAAGCGAGAGCGCTGTAATCCACTGGCTTACTCCCCAGATGCAGGAATGGTTGGGGGCCAAAGCCAGGATCTGTGAATTCAATCCAGGTCTCCCACATGGGAGCAGGGACTCAATTATGTGTGAATTAGCAGGAAGCTCGAGTCAAGAGCTGAACTGGGTATGGAACCCTGGCACCCTGGGGTGGAATGTGGGTATCTCAACCTGCGTTTTAGCCACGAGGCCAATGCCTTCCCCTCTTAGTGTGCATTTCTTTCTTGTTCTTTAGGTGAAGACACAAAAGCCCCTTCTCCCACCAAGGCTAAACTGACCCAGGCTACAGTGCTTCTTAGTGCAAAGCTAACTTGGAGCTGATGTCTGTGTGACCGCAAGCACTTTCTGCAGCAGGCTTCCAGGCTGAGACCGCTTGTTGGAGGCAGACTGCACCTTCCTGGGGAGGCGAGGGGGCAGGGAGGGTGGCAGGATTTTCTTCTTGGGGCCTGTGGGGGAAGTGGCCGTGGACAGGATTGTGGCTGAGGCCAGGGCTGCCTTTCTCTCAGGCCTTCCATATTCAGCCCTTCTCCCTCTGCCCACCGCTCAGTTCTGGAGAAGACCCCATGCCGTGAGGTGAAGAAGCGCAGCCATCAAGGACTCGGTTCAGAGCAGGCCTCCCTGCTTTGGAAAAGTGCCTGCAAAGCCACTGGGCACCTGCTCATTTGTTGTCAGGCATCTGCTGTGTGTGCCTGTCTGGCTCTTCCTAGAGAGTTTATGGGCCAGTGGGAGAGCGGGATTGTAAGCAAGTGCCTGGAATATGGCGTGAGAAGTGTTAGAGGAGAGGAGGGCAGGGCTGCTCTGAGAACGCAGAAGGCAGCATCTACCCAGCCTGTGGTGGGGGGACAGGAAGTGTCTCTGGGCTGGCGACTTCCGGATTGAGTTAAAGCGTGAAGGTGGGACCAGGTGCCCAGGTGCACCCTGCAGAGGACTCAGGGGAGGGAGAGTGATGGGTGAAGAAGGCCACGAGACCCTCTGCAGCTACCTGCTCCTGGGCTGCCAAATCTTAGGAGGAGGTGGAGAAGTGTTGAGAAAATGCTAGAGAGAGGGGAAGGGGCCAGTCCCTGGAGACCTCTGCACCGTAGGCTAAGTCACTGGGGCTATTCTGTAGGCAAAGGGAACTTTTGAAAGGCTTCAAGCAAGAAAGCGCCATGTTTAGGTAGGAATATTAGCCAGACTGCGTTGGCTGTTTCCATGGGAGTCTGGAGGAAGGTGAGCTTTGGAAGTCAGTTAAGAGGTTTGCATGGTGTAGGCAAGGGGAGGAGAGTGTTTCTACTAGAAAAAGCTGAGAATCCGTAGTCTGAGCAGAATTTCCTTTGAGCCTGGGAGAGCACATGGTCAGAGGTCTCATGCACCTGGAAGTTAAGTGCAGCCAGAAATATCATGGGATGCATTTCACAATCAGTTTGCATCTTGGAATCTCTGTGTTTGGCAAATGACTTACAGGATTAACCGATCTGCTTATTTGCTGATCATCTACAGCTATGACACAAGGAGCAGTTGTGACTTATTATCAGTAAAGCTTTTTGGAATGTGCCACTGCTCCGGCCCCTGGGCTGGAGGTTTTGGTCATGTGGAAGCAGGACCCTGAACCTAGGACAGGTTTGGGACCTGGCTGCTTCTTACCACCTCCCCAGTTGCCATTCACGTGTGGAAGTGGCAGATGCCAGAGAGCCATCTCTGTTTTCTGCAGTTTCAATGATCGTGGACCCAGTCCTCCAGGACACCGGCCCCCCTCACAGCCATGGACCCCAGTTGGTCCCATTTCAAGGCCAGCGATGTTCTCCCTGATTCTTGAGAAAGTGTGAGGCAAGGTGTTCTTGGTGGAATCTTCTTTTGTGACCGTCCTAATGAACCCTCAGAACTGCCTTGCCTTGAAAGGAGAGAGCTCGGGTCCTGCCCCTGCTGCTTATCTGTGAGCCATCACGCCTGGCGCTGCTGGGTCTGCTGATGCTGCTCTCGGGTGTTTCTTGTTTATTCAGCCCTCTGCTATTTGAGTCAGGGCCCTGGTGACTGCCACTGGGGCTGGGAGTAATTATGGCATTCTTGGGGGAGACGGCACCCTAATCGTGTTTCAGCCATCTTCCCTGCAATGCCTTTGATCCAGCTCTTGGCTGGGAAAGTAGCCATTAAGAGATATGTATCTTTAGTTTCATTTACATGGGAGAAATGAGAGCTAACCAGGCAATGGATGGTTTCATACTCTCCGAGGTAGCCTTTTCCCAGTCCATGTCCAGTGTTCTCAGAGCCCTCCAGGAGGGTACAGCCGCCAACCATAGTCTCATGGAGCCACTGGAGGCCTGGGGCTGAGATCCTGTGTCTGGAAGGGAGTTACCCAGGTGAGAAGCCTTCCACATGGCTCATGCTCCCTGGGACATCCTTCATTCTTTCCTTTCCTTTCATACATTGAGTCAAAGAAAACCAGAAGTCTCTGAAGTCTTTATGATTATTTCTTGATTCATTAATTACCTCATGATAGTACTCTGCTGTTATTTAAAAACATATTAATGAAAATTTAGAAGCCAGTAAAAATAAAAATTTACTGGCTCACTAGTTTCCCTTAACCCCCTTGTCCTGAAATAATGAGAAAGTTCACAGCATCTTTTGGCTAAAGAGAATTGCTTTATGCTGTGTGTGTAACTGGAGCCCTTCTTTCTTCTCTTTAAGACATTTGAATGACTGTATAATGTTACATCAAGTAACAGGTCCAAGATTTCTTTTAATAAACTTTACTAGACATTTCAATTGTTTGTAAATTATGCCACGAGAACCAAATTTGTTTACATATCTTCTCCCACCGTTTTGCAGTGATTTTTCTTAACATAAGTTCTATGAGCTGGAACCATGGGGCCAAAGGGTTGAATTGTTTTATGTTTTTGACCCATAGTCCTACATTTACCAAAGTCTTGTCTAAAAGAATTTTTATTGACGCTGTCACCAGCAATGGCACACTCTTTAGCGGTGGGATGAAGAAGTTTGTTATTCCACAGTGATGATTTAATGGATGAAAGAGAATATCACCTTGTTGTCCTGTCCCCTGCCTCCCTCCTTCCTGTCTTCTGCCCTCCTCTTCCTTGTGATGTCCTGTGAGGTAGGAGGGTTTTCGCCTGTTACAGACAGTCCCCCAGTGCCCCAACCTAGGCTTCCAGAGGTTCCTGATGTCCAGCAGGTGCCTCTCTGCAGGGCTCTAGATCATAGGAACCTCAGGACCAGGCTGTCGTCCTTTTCAGAAGCCTCCTCGTGTTGGAGGAAGTAACTACCAGTTTTCACATCTGGAAAAGGAGTGCGTGGCAGACCTGCTAAAGGCATTGTCCAGCTCCTGTGATTTAGAAGTCTGTTTCCTTAGCTAGCTGGTTACCCCACCTCTGTCTGGTGGGATTTGGACTCTGTTACACCCTTTGCTGTCCTGAGCCATCTTCCAGACTGGAAAGGATGCAGAGCTGCTTATGTGCTGTGATTCCATAGGGAGTCACGCCAGATGTGGCCTCTTTTTGTCTCCTCTTACCACGAGAGCAGAGAATCCAAAACCTGTTTTCATACACATGCTGTGGACTCTGATAATTCACAACTGGCTTTATCTGTGTGGCAAAGCTTGGCCACAGGGATGGGCACATAATCTTCTAGGCAATCAGGTTTTTTTTCCTGGAGGTACTAGAAGTGCTTATGCCCAACAGGTCAGCAAATTGTGTCCAGCTGGCTGAAGTCTTTACCACATGGGGAGGGAGTCAAGAGGGGTGGAGGGAGACTAAAATGTTGGGTGGACCCACATGTCCAGGCCATGAAGTACTAGTTGCTACAATTCTCTCTTTAATTCTGTGTTCCATCCCAATATCTTTCTCCCCACTATAAAACCATATATTTGGGGCCAGCACTGTGGCTTAGCAGATAAAGCCACTGTCTGCAGTGTTGGCATCCCATATGGGCACTGGTTTGAGTCCCGGCTGTTTTATTTCCTATCCAGTTCTCTGCTGTGGCCTGGGAGGGCAGTGAATGTTGGCCCAGGTCCTTAGGCCCCTGAACCCACGTGGGAGATTGGAGGAAGCTCCTGGCTCCTGGCTTTGGATCAGCACAGTTCCAGCCGTTGAGGCCATCTGGGGAGTGAACCAGCAGATGGAAGACCTCTCTCTCTCTGCCTCTAGCTCTCTGTAACTCTGCCTTTCAAATGAATAAATAAATTTTTTTAAAAACTCAACCATATGTTCTTTTTTGTGTTCTAAGCTAGCTTGGCATGTGTTCTCTCTTGTTACTCTTAAATAATCCACACTACCATATTGGTTGTGAATGCTTTTCCTGTTGATTCCTATTTTGCGTCCTCCCAGAGGGCTATCTATTTATTTCATCTTATTTTTTATTTGGAAATACTGTAGATACACATAAGATTTCAAAAATAGAAATCCTATGTACTGCTCACTGAGATTCTCTCAATAGTGACTTTTTATGTAACAACAGTTCAAATACAAAAACAATTAAAACCTGAAAATATCACACTAGAAATGCTGCAAGACATTGTCATGGACAAAGAATTCTTTGGTAAGACTTGAAAAGCACAGACAATAAAAGCGAAGATAGAGAAATGGGATTACATCAAGCTAAGAAGATTCTGCACATCAAAGGTAACAGCTAACAAACTGAAGAGAAAACTGACAGAATGGGACAAAATATTTGCAAACCATGAATCTAATCAAGCATTAATATGCAGAATATACGAGGAGCTCAAGGGAACAGCAACAAAACAAGGAATTCAGTTAAGAAATGGGCAATGGGTATGAATAGGCAGTTTTCAAAGGAAGAAATACAAATGGCCAAGAAACAAAAATGCTCAGGATCACTAACCACCAGGGAAATGCAAATAACCCAATGAGCTATCACCTCACTCCAGTTAGAGTGGCTGTTATCTAGAAATAACAACATAACCATTGCAGGTGAAGTTGTGGAGTAAAGGATACTCTGATATAGTGTTGATGGAAATGCAAGTTGGAAAACAGTATTGACATTCCTCAAAAAACTATAAAAGGATGTACCATATGACCAAGCTATCCCACTCCTGGGAATATATTCAAAGGAAATGAAATCAGCATATGAAAGAATGATCTACATGCCCATGTTTATAGCAGCTCAACTCACAAAACAAATATATGGGATCAACCTATCAACCTGGATGTCCATCAACTGATGATTGGATAAAGAAAATGTGACATATATACATGTGTGTGTGTGTGTGTGCGCGCGCGCCATCTATCTATCTGTATAGATAGATAGATGATAGAATATTATTCAGCCAAAAAAAGATTTAAATCCTGACATTTGTAACAGAATGTCAGATCATTAAGTGAAATAGGATCCAGAAAGACAAATATTACACATTGTCTCTTATTTGTGGAAGTTAATATATAGAGAGTATAAAAATGTGTGTATGACATATCATTTGATAAATAGTCATAAATATGGCTTCACTGAATTATACTGTGTACATGACAATATACTCTTTTCCTCACATTCTGATCAATGTCATGAATCCCTTACTTTGTGATATCAATATCTGTTTTCAAGAAAAAATAGTAAATATGTGTATATAGTGTCTAAATATGAAGTAAAAGTGGTAAAATGTTAAAAATTGTTAAATTATAATACTAAAAAATAAAAGAAAGTGACAACTTTCATTTTTTAAAGAAAATCTGGCTGTGCATCCACAGGTGCTCAGAAGCTTACCGGCTAATGAAGAGAAGCCTGCACATTAGGTCGGGGTGGTGAGCGTTAACACTTGGCCGGTGTAAGGTGCTGCCTTCATCCAGCATTCACTGTGTCCCAATAAACTGGTCACTTTGCATCTGGTAATTCTACAAGCTTCACAACTATGCTGTAACAGCTCTACCAGTAGCATCATTGTTCCTTTTGCAGAGAGTTGGAAACTGAGGCACAGAGAATTTAAGCAGCTTGCTTAAGGTCACAGTGTGGTTAGGGAGTGGAGCTAGAGTTTAAGCCCAAGGAGCCTGTACTCAGGGCCATTCTGCCAAAGAGCTACATAATGAGACTCACAACAAGGGTCATAGAATGTGTTTCCCTGAGCCTTCCTGGACCTTTTACCAATGGCCCACTCCTCTTTCACCCTCATGCTCTCCCTCCTGTTTCCTAAGAGGAGGAGACTCTTTACATGGTTGTAACCATATTTGTGAGGCTCTGGGGCTATGCTCCAAGAGTGCCAGTGTCTCCCAGGCACCCTCTCTGGACGAGGCACACCCTCTGAGCAGCAGGGTGAGGGGCAGAGCGGAAGTCAATCCTCAAAGGTGGAGGGTTGGGGTTCTTCCCTCACTCCCCAGGGCTTCTTTGACTTAGTGCTGCAAAACAAAAACATAAAATAAAACAAGACTGACCAAAACCCCAGGAGAAGTCTTGCACAGCAGAGGAACACGTTTACTTGTCAGTTCATGGTTTCAGTTCCAGCCTCATGGTGTTGTACATGGTGCACAGGTTGGTGGCAGTGAGGTGGAGGGATGTCCAAGGTGCATCATTCTGGGGGTGGGCACGGAGGTGGGCAGGGTGGTGGGCATTTGGGAGGACAGGGCTTGGGGCAGGGCTTGGGAGGGCATGGTGGGGGACATGGAGGAGGACATGTTGCAGGGCACACCGTGGGGCATGGCGGGCATTTTGGTGGTGGTGGACACTTTTCCCGTGGGCACTTGTCAGAGCAGCGTTGTAGTAGCTTCTTCAGACAGCTGGGCTGGCACTTGGCCTCACACTTTTGTTCACACCTGGGATCGCAGTTCTTAGGTTCCATCTTGGGCTCGCTAGCTTTATTCTTATCATCACTCGACATTGCTTATTGATTATTCTCGCCCTGTAAAAGACAGGTGAAATGGGTTGTGGGTAGATGGGAATTTGTAGGACCTTCCTGCCAATCCTTATATTTTTTTAAAGATTTATTTATTTATGTGAAAGAGTTAAACATACACACACACACACACACACACACACACAACGAGAGAGAAAAAGGGAGAGGTCTTCCATCTGCTGGTTCACTCCCCATTAATTGGCCACAATGGCTGGAGCTGAGCAGATCTGAAGCCAGGACGCAGGAGCTTCCTTCAGGTCTTCCCACACAGGAGCAAGGGCCCAAGGACTTAGGCTATCATCTACTGCTTTCCCAGGTCGTAGCAGAGAGCTGGATCAGAGGTGGAACAGCTGGGACTCAAACCGGCACCCACATGGGATGCTGGTACGGCAGGCGGTGGCTTCACCCACTATACCACAGTGCCAGCCTCCCATCCTTATTCTTAAGAATGCATTTCCCGGTGTGGTTGGTCTCCAGCCTGCCTTGTTTAAGGCCTGTCCTTGTCATGGATTTATGTTAGTATGTCTTGGCCTTTCCACCCTTTGCTTTCTTTTCTCTTTTCTTGTTTCTATCCCATAGACTATAACAGGAGTTCTTAACCTTGTGTCCTGGGATACCCTCAAACATAAGAATTGCATTTAAATATAGTTGCCCTCTTCTGTAACCCAGTATGTTTGCAAACATTATTTCAAAGAGTCCTCAAGTTTGATCAGATTGCTGAAGATATCCATAGCCCAAAAACAGGCTTCAGAGGGCACCCGTGAGGCTACTTTCCCATCCATCTGGAGGGAAATGGAGAGAATATGAGTGACCTTTGGGACCTTAAGGGACATTTCAATCCTGTGTCTTATCTAAGCACACCCCCCCTGCCCCCCAATCTTGGGAATTGCTTTGTTCACTCCAGAACTGGGGAAGACACTTGAATATCTACTCTGCCTGGGTTCCCGTGGAACACTCCAGAGCCTCCCCACCCCTCACACGTTCTGCAAAGTGACTCGGGCAAGGAAAGAAATCAGAGGAGGCGGTGAACTGGGAAATTCTCTCTTCTCTGGACATCTGAATGTGATTTTCAGACGGGAGCTCCTTTTTTCCCTCTGTTGAGCTTTGCCCTATGCTAGATCTAGCTCTAAGATGGTTTAACTTCTGGATATTGGCAGGCTTTTCAGTCTTGGGCACTGCTTCAAGTTGGATCTGACTGGCACACCATTCATTTCCTCCAACAGTATGAAAACACAGTGTTACCTAACTTAGTTTTAAAACAAGTATAGATCTCTGGGGAGGCAGATCTGTAAACTGAACTCTAAAATTGTTAAGAATCTCCATTCCAAGGTAAGGTTCACCCTAGGTGTTGCTACTGAATATGACAGAGACTTCTCACCCAATATAACTCTCTCAACCCTGCCTGGGGTGCTGCAGGTCCCTTCCATGGCAGGGGAAGTAAAAGTGTGGCCATTTCCATTGTCCAAGTACAACTCACCCTTTGTGCTGCTGGTTAGCCTGACAAGTAGTCGAGTGAGAGAGATGGTATGGCTGTGCTCGGGAAGGTGGATTTTCCCTCTGGTTCCTCTGCCCTGCTCTGAGGAAGCAGAGGGTGGGGGGAGGGGTGAGCTGCACTTGTGACATCATCAGAGTATCATGCAGGAGCCATTGTTGTGTGTCTCCGGAACTCCCAGCTCCACTCAAGCCCTTGATATGAGAATACAGCCATGGTTAATCACCCCCTAAGTTGTCCCACCCACTCTGCGGGTCCCACAAAATTAACACTGGCTGCAGGGAAGACTCTTGAGCTGTGAGGACAGGAGGCTCATTGTTGCTCAAAGCAGGAGAGCGAGCTGGCTGTCTACAGCTGGTTGCCACTTCCTCCCCAGCTCCCAGGGTTTTCACAGCTCTGGTTGTGCCCCGTCTCTACCTTTGGGGAAAGCTCCCTGAACTGATGATGGTTATTTTGACTCCTCTCTTCCCTATTTTTTCTAACATGAGATTCTCAAATTTTCTTTTACCACCCCACCTTTGCCTGTCCAAGTCCATGGATTATGTTAGCTCTTTTCCTCAATGTCTCTGAACAGATTCCCTGGGTTTTGAGCTCTGTGACTGATTTTCTGACCAGGTGTGACCATCCCTGGTCTCTAAAAAAAGATCCTTTAGAAATGTAAAGGAATTCTGCCTGATGCTCCTGGTCACTGTCGACCAGATCCCACTGTACAGTAGGTTGCACCTCTCAGAGCGTTCCTTCCTCACCTCTGGAGGCCTGGCCAGCGGGCCTTTGTGTTGGAATGGGGATGGTGATGGCAGGTCGGTTTGGGAAAGGAGAGCGGGGCTCAGACACAGGGCCCTCTCCTCAATCACTGATGAGTCCTGGGAGACTTTCCACTGGAATTGCGACATTTTTACCAAAAGCTCAGTCCCCATCCCCATCAGTGGAATCCAAATGATGAGGACAAAGTTTGAGGGTGAAGGAAAGAAAAAATTTAATCTACTGATACATGAGTGGGTAGCAGACTGGCAACCTCAAAGACCGCCCCAGTGAGGGTGGTCTGGGGTTTGTAAAGAGGCTGGGAAGGAAGTTGGGTCAGGTGTTGCTGAGTCTGGACTTGCTGAGTCAGGTGTTGAAGCTGCTGCAGGTGTCTGGCATGCCAGCACCGTTCCCTGGGAGCCTTGACTGATGGACTGCCTTATCACAGGGAGGGACTGGCAGGATGCTTTGCAAAACCAAGTAGCTACCAAATGGTATTGGGTTGGGATCTGAACAAGGCCACATAGTGTGTGCAGAGATCACAGGGTTTCATTATTTAGGATGAAGCCCACCTGGCCTGGAGCCCATTCTTACTGCCTGCTTAGTGATTTGCTCCCTTTTGCCTCCTGTCGCAGTGAAGTCAGACCTCCCTCCTGCTGGTGTGTGTGTGGGGGGACCAGATGACCGTTGCAGCTTCAGTTGGCTTTCTCCAGGCCAGGCGCCAGAAATTCACAAGACAGCATTACTTCTCTAAACAGACACTCTAGTTAGTCGCAGGCTCAGTAATTTGCTTTTGCTCATCAGAATGTGAAAATGAAAGAAAGACATATTTGTTCCACTTATAGTAACAGAGGCGAGTGTTTGGTGTGACAGTTTGGATGCCAGTTGGGGTGCACCCATCCTGTATCAGAGCACCTGGGTTTGAGTCCTGGATCCACTTTGGATTTCTGCTTCCTGCTAACGCAAACCCCAAGAGGCTTTGAGTGATGATGGCTCAAGGACTTGGGTCCCTGCCATCTGCATGAGTTCCAGTCTCTTGGCTTCAGCCTGGTCCAGCTCAGGTTGTGGCAGCATTTGGGGCCTGAACCAGAAGATGGAGGATCTCTTTCTGTTTGGGTCTTTCTCTTTGTCTCTGTCTCTCTGCCTTTAAAATGAGATAAATCAATACTGAATTTCAAAGCTGTGATATGATGTCTTGGGGGTAGAAATGCTGACAGCAGGGTGTAGGATAATTAGGAAGATGGAGTGGTGGAATGAAAATAGAATCAGGATATCTCAAAGAAATTACAGAGGATCCTTGAGTGTGAAGGAAGGCAGTGGTGATGGGAGAAACCTCAGAGAGGAAACTTTATGGAGCTTGGTGACTGACTTTGTGTAGAAAATTAAAAATAAAAAAAATTGAAGATGAAAGCCATATTTCAAGATGATAATGTTACCATTAGTGGGAAGTCAGGTAATAGGAGAACAGGTTTGTGTAGAGGAAAAAGGGTTTGAGTATGAGAAAGTTGTGTGTAGCTATGGAGAAATATACTGAGTGATCGGTAGAAATATGCCTTTGGCCCATGTGCCACCAAGCAGATCTGAGACCTGGAGCTCATTTCTGTCCAACAAGTGCTTACTGAGTGGATGAGCATGAGCTGTATAGAGAGAGGACTGGGGGAGAGAATAGGAAAAGGACTGGGTAGGATGGAGAATCCCAACATAGGGATTAGGAATACCATTGACTTGTGTAATGAAAACCCAATGGAACCCAAGTGAAAGGGAGAGTGGGCTGGAGCTTAACCCCTTGGGATCCTGTAGTCTGGGTATAGCCTGCTTCTCTCGCCTTCTTGCCTCTGTAGTTTTGTTCAGGAGCTCTGTTTCCCCAGAGCTGTTGAGAAGCATCTCCCACACCCATCTCAGGGCACCCAGCTCCATCTGCTGTTCAGCCCTGGACCAGAGCTACCTCAGACACTGGGACACAGGGCTCAGAGTAAATGGTTCCTGATCTCTGGTTCATCACCTGAAGGAGACAGACCAGGAAATAGCTAACGACAAAATACAGTGATAAAAATCCTGGCATGAGCTTGGCTAAAGCAATGCACAGCCTGGAAAGGGCAGATAAATGTTGCCCAAGGTAAATGTCCTCCAAGTTCAAGGTTGAGGAAGGAGGAGTGTGCACATGCCTGGCAGAGAGAAGGACAGCTTCAAGAAAATGCCATTGTAGTTTTGGGAAATGCAGGTAGTGCACTGGAACCTGTGAGAAGAGGCAAAAAGGCTGCGTTGAGAGCAAGGGCCTTGTTAGTAACGGTTTTGTAGCCCTAACAACCCTGGATCTCATCTTAAATTCAGTGGTAAAGTAAAATTTTTTTTGAGTAAAATTCACTGTGAAGTCTGTGGAATATAAATTATAGGTGAGATACTGTGGAGGCAGGGAGACTTTTTTTTTTTTAAAGGATTTTGTTTATTTATTTGAGAAGTAGAGTTACAGACAGTGAGAGGGAGAGACAGAGTGAAAGGTCTTCCATCCACTGGTTCATTCTGCAAATGGCTGCAATGGCTAGAGCTGGGCTGATCCAAAGCCAGGATCCAGGAGCTTCTTCTGGGTCTGCCATGTGGGTGCAGGGGCCCAAGCACTGGGACCATCTTCCACTGCTTTCCCAGACCATAGCAGAGAGCTGGAGCAGAAGAGGAGCAGCCATGGGGCCGGCGCCGTGGTGTAGTAGGTTAATCCTCTGCCTGCGGTGCCAGCATCCCATATGGGCGCCGGTTCTAGTCTTGGCTGCTCCACTTCCAATCTAGCTCTCTGCTGTGGCCTGGGAAAGCAGTATAAGATGGCCCAAGTCCTTGGGCCCCTGCACCCTCATGGGAGACTGGGAAAAAGCACCAGGCTCCTGGCTTCGGATCGGCACAGTTCTGGCCATTGCGGCTATTTGGGGTGTGAACCAATGGAAGGAAGACCTTTCTCTCTGTCTCTCCCTCTGTCTGTAACTTACCTCTCAAATAAATAAATAAATAAATAAAATCTTAAAAAAAAGAAGAGGAGCAGCCAGGACTAGAACCTGCAACCAAATGGGATGCTGGCACCACAGGCAGAGGATTAACCTATTGTGCTGCAGTGCTGGCCCTGGCAGGGAGACTTATGACAGTGACAGCTGGTTTAGCACAATATACAGACATACAGGGCCTTAGGCATACACAGAGGGGCCACAGAATGGTTTAGGAGATGTTTTGGCCTCAGTTAGATTAATATCTTTTATAATCAGCATTTATATCAATTTTCCTTACTCAAAGCTGAAACCCTTTAACAGTTACTATTGAAATATCTTACCTTGCTGTGAGCACCATCGGGAGCTCCGAATGGAAGGAGGGAAAAATGAGATGAAAAAAGAGTCCAGGAAAATACTGAGTTGGAGAAATGATATTTCAGGGCCAAGATCAGAAAATGGGAGCAAGAGAGACAGAGACAGAGGCACAGAGAGGAAAATCGGTAGGTCAAGGGATGAAGGAAGCAGATCAGCACCAATACAAAGCAGCAGCTAATATGTGTGGTGGACTCTTATTGAGGGCCTCACACATAGTGTCCACAGTGGTCTATAACGGTGCTGTAAGGCAGGGAGGCAGCACGATGGACGAGAGTGTAGGTTCTGCACTTGGAATGTGTCTTGCACATTCTCAGCACTCAACATATATTACCCGTTATCCTAAGAAAACTGCTGCTATTACAACTTAGAATAGGGAGGTCAATTACAAGGGTTCATTTGGTAAATAACAAAAGCCGGGTTTGAGCTCAGGAATCTGACTCCAGGGTGCAGCCTCTGAACCCCTCTCTATTTGGGGCTTCCACACTCAGTCATGGCCCCTCCCGGCTTCTTCCTTCTGAGTCCTAGCCCCCTAAGAAGTCTGATGTGTGTTCATCTAAGCAGTGCTTTGTTGCTGACCTGCTGCTGACCAAACCCTAAGCCCAAGGTGAGGCTGGGAGCTGGGAGACCACATGTCACACTGCCAGGAGCACTGACCTTGAGCGAGGAGACATAAGGACTGGAAAGGTGATGGACAGGTGCATTCTGTTGGAAGCCCAGTGACCCATTCATGCTGTGTGAACTTCTTAAGCAATACATGGAGGGAAGAGAGGAGAGAAAAAATTACAGTTGGTAGCAGAAATCATTACATTTTCATTGCCCAAATGACTGCCTAGTTGAGAATATAATTTAAATAGCTTTCCAACTGCTCTTTTCATTCATGTCAGAAGGGAATGTCCTTTCTTGGCTAATTTATATTAATTTTTCCACCTTCTAGATGTAACTTGCTAACTCACCTCCCATGAGGCTGCCCTGGCTCCCTACTCTGCTGTAGTCTAAAGACGCCATCTTTGAGCATCCCACAGCTCAGTGTCGCCACTTCTGCTGGGGTGATGGCTGAGTCTCCTGTCTCCCACAGTCCCCTCCTCCAGAAAAGGGCCCTCTTAGTTTCCTTGGCATCTTTGGTGTG